GCCGGTGAGTTAGCAAACCCTGGGAGGAATTGACAGCGCTGCGTATTGTCTTTGGTTCATTAAGTACTGCGGTAAATCCCGAAGCATTTGCAGTACAATGAAAAATGAACAATTAATTTATGCGGGTTAAGAAGCTTTGCTTTACAAGTCCCGTTGGATAGTTGGTGGAGATATCAACATAACAATAATAATGATAAGGATAGTAACATAGTTAATAATTGAACTATGATAATGTGGACTTATCGTTTGCTCCGCTGTAGTCCTGCGATCCTCTTAGATTCACAGCGCTCACAGTTAACAACAAATAATTCCATGGTCTACTCCAGGTGTAGGATGGAGACGTAGTGTTAAGTAACAAATTGTCAGTGGATAAGTGCGTCATCCAAGCGTCTTTTAAATGCTGTTAGTGTCGGTGCAGAGACTATTAATTTTTGGAGAGCATTCCACGGGTGACAGACACGAATGGAAAAGAAATTGCTGCAGCACTCCAGACGACTGTAGTGTTCTGCGAGTTTTAATGAGTGGTCCCTCAGGTTTGTATTGCTGCTGAGTTGCAGTAAAGGGCGGCACACATGATGTGGGTCGCGCAGAATCAAGTATGCCATAATCAGATCACCTCGTAGTCTCCGATAGCTTTCACTGAACACCCCAATCGTTGCAGCCTTTCCTGGTAGGAAAGATTGCGCATTCCAGTTACGTTCTTAGATGCCCGGCGTTGTGGCTGCTCCAGTGCATTAAGCTCGTGTTTCAGCCATGGATGCCAGGCTTGAATTGCATATTCGACATGGGGGCGAACATACGCACTGAGCATTTGTCGAAATATGGAGCTGTTTATTTGTCCAAACGCCCGCCTCAACAGCCCGACGTGTTGGTTCCCGGTCTTCGAGGCCTTTTCGGATTGCCTGGAGCAACCCAAGTCATCTTGAACCAGGACACCCAAGTCACGTACGAGAGTTGATAGTTGCAGTACATCTGTTCCGAGCCGGTATGAGTAGCTGCTTTGATGTCGGATGGAAAGCACCTTGCATTTACTGGCGTTGAAATGCAATAAGTTTTGGGTCGACCATTGATACACCGTATCTAAATCACTCTGAAGCACATGTTGGTCGGTGTTCGCCTGGATCCTGCGCCAGATCTTGTTATCGTCGGCAAACATTAGGAAGTTTGAAGAGCTTCCCTGTGCAAGGTCATTAATAAACACCAAAAACAAATGTGGACCTAGAACCGAGCCTTGCGGCACACCACAATCCACTTGTATGGGGTCCGATAAAGAGCTCCGAACTCTGACCACTAATTGCCGTTGAAGTAGCAAGTTGGCAATCCAGCTTAAAAGAGGGTCGCCGGTCCTGTAATGCTGCAGCTTGGATATTAGTATCCGATGGTCTAGACGATCGAAAGCCTTGGAAAAATCCAGGTAGATCACATCAAGACCTTCTCCAGCGTCAGCTGCCTCGGTCCAACTACTGCGTGCAATTAGTAAATTCGTTGTACATGACCGCTGTCGACGGAAACCGTGCTGCTCAGGAGGGAGTTTGTTCCAGTTTTCCAGATAGCACACCAGTGCATCGGCAACTATGGATTCCATGACCTTGGAGAGTATAGGAAGAAGGGATACTGGGCGGTAGTTTGAGGGATCAGTTCTGCTTCCACCTTTGTGAATCGGGGTTATTATTCCAAGCTTCCGCATGGCGGGAACTTGGTTCTGGTCTAAGCAGCGCTGAAAAAACTGAGCTAAAGGTCCTGCCAGTTGGCTTGCTGCTGCTTTCAGTGCCTCTGGACGAATGGTGTCGACACCCGGCGAGCTGTGTTTGCGTAGAGACATCAGCTTTTGCAATACAGTCCTCCGCGGTGAAATTGATGTGGGTTAGTCCTGGCAAGGAGAAGACAAAGCTTGGCAGATGGCCTGGTGGCAAGACCCTTCGAAACGTGGGAGCGTAATGCATCTGCAGCGCGTCTGCTGCTTCCACAGCCGTTCTTGTTGGGCCATCAGCCGTCTTAAGTGGAGGAAATCCTTGCCTCACGTTTCGTAGGCTATTAACGTGCTTGTACAGCAGTTTGTGGTTAGCACTGAAGGTTTTTGCGAGGTTCTGCTGATAGCCGGCTTTGTCTTCCCTTAACAGTTGAGTGCAGTGGTTACCTTGCACTACGTAATTATCCCAAGTTTCTGGTGCTGGAGCTTCTCTGTGCACTCGCCATGCTGCGTTACGTACCGTCATCCGTTTTCGAGTTCTGCTCCTAACGTAAAAAACTGATTTACACTTTTAGCAAACTTTTGGCTCTGGTGCCTGTGCAATCAGCCGACTGAATGTGTTGACGAACACGAGCCAGGCGACTTCCGGGGGTTCTTCTTCGAGAAAAGACCAAGTTGTGGTGCTGACGAGTTGGGCTAAGCGATGGAAGTTTGTGGTGGTTCGCACAGTCTCATCGTTCTCATTCAGATATTCTGCATAGCAGACAAAGTTGAAACTGATTACGGCGTGATCACTGCGACCCAACGGGCAGTCTAAAACCAACACATCAATCATATGATCCTCGTTGGTAAGCACAAGATCCAGCACAGATGGCCTGTTACCAGTTCTGAAACGAGTGGGCAAAGTGATGTGATTGTAAAGAGGCACAGTAGTTACTAGATCTTGTAGATCGGCTTTGAATTGTTCTCCGATCGTGGCGGGAGTTTCTAAACAATGTACGTTGAAATCACCCCTGGTAAGAATGTGAGTGTACTTTTGTTGTAAACTGCACCTTAAAGCAGCCGCTAGGTGATAGTCGGTTTCGGGTGTTGAGTTAGGGGCGCGGTACCCCAGAACAATAAGGCAAGCGTCCCTGCCATTTAACTGCAACCGGCACCAAAAAGAGTCAGGGAACTGTGAGTCTGAATCCTTCACGGCTTCGCACTGTAAGTCGTTTCGTTAATACAGGCTTACCCCTCCTCCTTTTGTGAGCCTGTCGTTCCGGATCAGCGACATGCCCGGTAGCGACACTTCAGCGTCCGTCATTCCCGTGTGCAACCATGTCTCGGTGATACCAATGACATCATACGAGCCGGAAGCTTGGCGATCTTTCAGTTCGGCCAGTTTGTTAGAAAGACCCTGAGCATTCGTATATAAGCAGGCCAGTTTCTCGGTCTCTAGGAGCCCACATAGGGGTGAAGGGATCACGTGTGGGAGAATGCCGACCGATGGGAGGTCGGCATAATATGTGCACGAAATTGGTGGCTGTTGAGACGCGTTAGGTATGTGTAACAGGTGGTTTTGCATAAGCTACTTGCTCAGGAAGCTGATGTATGGTCGCATTTGCTGGTTGCCCGACTAGAGTAAGGGAACGGATGTAGGCGGATAGGAAGATAGTTTGGGCTATGGAAACATTATAGTGTTGCTCACCCCAACACTGACACTCCAAGACCGCGGTTTCGTCCTGGTTGGGACTCATCAGTTGGAGATAGGCTGAGTTGGACTGGAACTCAGTGCCTAGTGGCTCATGGTTGACGCCATAAGCACTATGCCACTGAGATCCGCAAACAACGCTTGGTCCAGCGGAAACGAACGCAAAGTTGGACTTGGAGAATCCACTGATGGTTGGGTTGCTACAGTCGGGTTGCCATAGTTTGGGCTATTTCATTTAAGTGCTGGAGCCAGAGTTAACGAAGGATGTTGTCAACCATTGCAACGAGCCAGGGTATCTCCTCATCCAACCAGATATGTTGGATGGCTATATGTAGCCTGGACACAAGCCATGGAATAGCTGTTTGATCCGCGCACTTACCGGTTGCTCAAGTCGGGTCACGATCTGCTTAGCAGACTCATTTGAAAGGCTCGTATCTTGACTTGGAAGAGTGTCTCTGATCTGTAAGTTAAAGTCCTTAAGAAGGCTACCTAGCAAATGACTATATTCAGAGTAGTCAGAAGTGATGAGATAAGTGGATGAGGCCTACACTGGTATCTACTCTGACATTAAATCACACACTCTATTGCTCTACAAAAATGCTGTCAGATAGCTGTGTGCGAGCGCTCACACATGGGGGGATGAGTGATATGGTGACACACACACACTACTTGGGGGGGAAGGGGGACGGGGGGCGTTGACGGAGAGGGCACACACACAACCGCAATACATGAGATAGGGGAAGACATGTAGGGGGGAGTCCCAATGTACTATCTAGGAGCGAGGACGAGGCGTGTATGAGGAGGGGGCAGAAAAATCATATGCTGAAGTGAAGGGGGAACGAGCCGGGGGGGGACTTGCAACTATTTAGCGCGCCTCACACAAATGGCCGTGCAGTCTGAGCTATAGATCTGATCACATACATACACACACAATCTGTAGGGGTGAATGCACTCAGATATAGCGGGGGGGTGAGGTATCTTGATGCTCTTGTAGGAGAGAATATCTACTATATGAGCGAGCAATCAGACTCCAAAACATATCTAAACACACAATCCTATTAACCTCTCTATATAAGCAGAGGAGAGACAAGGGCAGATTAATAAAGTCTCGCGACCCACAAAGATTTGACCATCCTTGTGTGAGCAAAAAGATAATATCTTCTCTATCTCGGAACACTATATATAATGAGAATGAGTATGTACACACTTACAAAAAAAAGCTACACAAATAAGGTAAAAGACACATAGAGTGGGTGTTGGAGGCAGGGGGTCTCTACTCTCTATCTCTTCTCCCATGGTAAAAAAGAACATACATGGGTGGGATGATCTGCTATATGTTTATGAGTATATAATGACAATTCTTTTTGTGGGGGCGAGAGATGGAGGACACACAGAATGAATGGGAAATGAGAAATATATATATCACTCACACTATCACGCGGATGACGTGAGCACATCATATCAGGAGAGGAAATATAAACTCTATATGGGATTGGGTACACATGATCTATATCTACAGAAATTTATATATATCACACATATATCTCACACAATGTCTATATTATAGTTAGATATTGGGGGGTGGGGGGGGTGTGGGGGGGTGGGGTTTTGGGGGGGATGGTGGGGGGGGGTGGGGGGTGGGGGTGGTGGGGGGGGTGTTGTGTGGGGTGGGGGGGTGTGTTTGGGTTGTGGGTGGGGTTGGGTGGGGGGGGGGGGTGTTGGGGGGGTTGGTGGGGTTGGGGGGGGGGGGGTTTGGTGGGGGGGGGTTGGGGGGGGGGGGGGTGGGGGGTGTTGGGGGGTGGGGGGGGGGGGTGGGGGTTGGTGGGGTTGGGGTGGGGTGTGTGTGTGGGGGGGGTTGTGGGGGGTGTGGTGTGGGGTGTGGGTGTGGTGGGGGGGTGGGTGTGGGGGTGTGGGGTGGGGGGTGGGTGGGGTGGGTGTGGGGGGGGGGGGGGGTTGTGTGGGGGTTTGGTGGTTGTTGTGGGGTGTGGCTGTGGTGGTGGGGGGTGGGTTGGGGGGGGGGTGTGGGTGGGTGGTGGGGGGGGTGTGGGTGGGGTGTGGTTGGGGTGGTGTGTGGGGGGTGGGGGGGGGGTGGGGGTGGGGGTGGGGTGGGGGTGGGTGGGGGGGGGGTGGGGGTGGGGGGGGTGGGGGGGTGGGGGGGGTGGGGGGGGGGGTGGGGGGGGGGTGGGGGGGTGGGGGGGGGGGTGGGGGGGGGGGGGGTGGGGGGGGGGGGGGGGTGGGGGGGTGGGGGTGGGGGGGGGGGGGGGGGTGGGGGTGGGGGTGGGTGGGGGGGGGGGGTGGGGGTGGTGGGGGGGGGGGGGTGGGGGGGGGGGGTGGGGGGGGGGTGGGGGGGGGGGGTGGGGGTGGGGGGGGGGGGGGGTGGGGGGGTGGGGGTGTGGCGGGGGGGGGGGTGTGGGGTGGAGGGTGTGGGGCTGGGTGGGGGTGGGGGGGGGGGGGGTGGGGAGGGGTGGGCGGGGGGGAGGGGGTGGGGTGGGGGGGAGGGGGTGGGGGGGGGGGGGGGGTGGGGGTTTGTTGGTGGGGGGTTGTGGTTTGGTTGTTGTGGGTGGGTGGGGGGGGTTGGTGGGTTGGGGTGGTGGGGGGTGGGTGGTGTGGGGGGGTTGGTTGGGGGGGGGGTGGGTGTGGGTGTGTGGGGGTGGGTGTGGGGTTGATGGGTGGTTTGTGTGTGTGTGGGGGGGTGTGGTGTGTGGGTGGGTTTGGGTGTGGTGGGTGTTTTGGTGTGTGTGGTGGGTTGGGGGTTTTTGGGGGTTTGGGTAGTGTGTTTGGGGGGGTTGGGGTTTTTGAGTGGTTGGTGTGTGGTTTGGGTGGGTGTTTGAGGGTAGGTGGTTGGGTTTTTGTTTGGTGTTGGGGGGTGGTTTTTTGGAGAGTGTGGTAGGGTGTGTGGTGTGTTTGGGGGTTTGGGTTTTTGGGTGTTGGGTTATGGTGTTGGAGTTTGGGTGGTGGGGTTTGGGGGTTTGGTGTGTTGTGGTTGGGTGGTTAGGTTGGAGGGTAGAGTGTGGGTGATCTATTGGATGAGGTGGAATTGAGTAGTAGTGAAGAGGGGATAAGGGATGTAATGGAGAGGGGTATAGGGGGGTGTTATGTTGGAATAAGAACGAGGGTAAGTATTGGGGGGGGTACAATTATGGGGAGGTTTTGGTGTGATATTGTGGTTAGGAGGGAGAGAGGATGATAGGTGATTGATATATTGGGAATTGTTGGGGGTGAGTAGGAGAAGTTTGCGTTGTAGGCCTATGGTATCCACGGATCCTTGCTCACATGGTTGGAAAGTTACGTATACGACAGAAGAATCGAGGTAAGGATCGCCAACACCCACTCCGATAGCCTATGCGTCACTAGCGGCGTACCGCAAGGATCAGTTCTCCGCCCGTTACTCTTTTTAGTCTATATCAACGACCTCCCTGCCAACATTCAATCACCTATGCAAATATTCGCCGGCGATGCTAAGATGTGGCGAGCTATTCAGTCAACATCTGACCCTGTCTATCTGCAGGATGACCTGAACCGGATTCACGAATGGGCAGTAAACAACTAACTACCCCTGAACCCCGAAAAGTGTCACCTGTTGTCGCTGCGCAGTAACTGCAGCAACACATATCACCTGGGGCAGCGCGTTATAAAACAGGTGGACAACGAAAGAGACTTTGGGGTCATCATGCAAGAAGGTCTGGGTAATTCGCTCCAATGTTCAAAGGCAGCTAACATAGCGAACTTAAACTTGCGGCTTTTGAGGCGAGCGCTCGGTACCTGCGAGCGGCAACTCGTGCCATTATTGATTAACGCCTACATTCGTCCCCACCTCGAGTATGCGGTGCAGGCATGGCGTCCGTGGTTAAAACGGGACATTCGTCTCCTGGAGCAACCACAAAGAAGAGCCACTAAGGCAACACGTGGTCTATCGGGCCTTAGTTATGAACTGCGCCTTCGTTCGATCGGTCTGTACTCCTTAGAATACCGACGACTTCGCGGTGATCTGATCCTCACTTACCGGATACTAAGAGAAGAGGACCATCCATGTAAGTCGCTGTTAACATTATCTGCCGACAAACGATGCCGAGGCCATGCACTAAAACTTGTGACTCAATATTCCCGTTTAGATTGTAGAAAGTATTTTTACTCTCTTAGTGTCTGTCCGCACTGGAACGCACTGCCATCGCATGTGGTGAACGCACCAAACATCGAGACATTCGAAAGACTATTGGACTTGCACTTACATGATACACATTATATAACGGTATGACAAACTGCAGTGTCTAACTTACTGATATTTTTGTGTCACACCTGAAACTTTTGTTTTCTTCCATTTGCCATCCTGTGGGTCTTGTAAAGTTATTGCTTTTTATCCCACCATCCACTATTGAATATTGAATTGAACAAACGACCTGGGAACGCAGTTCGTATCTCCACAATTCGATAGGTTTTATAATTTATTGGACTGCCACAGTAACCATACGTCAGCGTATTATCCAGAAGCCAGGACAATAGTTGAGCGCTTCCATATACAGTTAAAGCCTCGGTCTACACCACCTCAGACCCTAACTAAAAAGAAGAATCGCTAGTGTTTTTAGTTATTCGCAGAAGCATCAAAACGGACTTGCGGTGTGCACTAGCCGTGACAGTTAACGACGTAACATTAAAATAACCGGTAGAACTCTTTCCTCCTACATCTTCGCGTATACACACGCCTAACTTGCATCCTCCCTTTCTTGACGCATGCACCAACTACTTCCGACTTTTCTACCTTAGGAGACAAAAGGTGTGCACACGCACAGCTGACACTTTACTGACACTCACGTATTCGTGCAACCTAATGCAGTTCCACGCCCTCTTCAGCCTCCCTACACTAGCCCTTTCAGAGTTCTGCAACAGACTCCGAAGCACTTCACTCAGGACCAGAATGACACAGGACAACGTTGACCATCGACTGTCTCACACCGGCACTCATTGACGAAGCACTTGCAAGCTACCCTGATGATTTCGCACAAGAACCAACACCTGCAGTGACTTCCCGAGCGTTAGAAACACCGAAACCATCCGTTCTTCTTGATTCTGCGCCCACACAGCTTCGAAACCTGGCAACCGATCGACGAGATAGAGAGTTTAACCATCCGGTCAATTTTATAGATTTTGTGAAAGCCGTTTACTCCCATTAACAAGCGTTTTTCGTCTTTGATGGTAACGGTACCTTTCGCCCAAAGGTTATGCAAAATCAACAAAACCGCCGAAGCTTTTGAAAAACCCTAACAGCATATTTTATTTTACTTTGCATACAATGTTTCCGCTCCGGCATCAAGCCATATCCCCTGACTCTACCCAACCCTTTTGAGTCCTGGCCTCCAGAATCTGAAATACCCGAACAATCAACGCAGCCATCGAAACGTTCGCCAAAAGATCAAGTCCCCTCACTGATTCAAGATACCACTAGTCGCCCTTGACCGCGGACGGCTACAACCGGATTGGTCGTTAAACGCCTGGCTACGTGGTGCAGAAGAGGACGCCCGGATTTCCCCTTGGGATGAGGATCGTATTTATTGTTGACTTGGGTACAGTGTAGAGTGTGACACCTCTCAAGCGCACCACTGTACCGTCAGCGGAGGCGATGTGCTGGTAACGTTTTTTTCTGGACCATGCAGTTCCTGCAAACTGATGAGCAAGCACCAACGGCTTACTGGTGATGTACTCCGGTCCATACTCAAAAATAAATAATAAACAATAAAGAAGCCTGAACCCAGCGGGATCTGAGAGACACTGGAATACTGCGTTCAACCCCATATATTGGATTGGCAACTAAGTTCCCGTCGTTTTCAAATGTTCACGTTACGCAAGCGATTAAATGCTTTTGGTATAATGTTGCAATTTAATCTTGAGGGGATATTCTATTGTATTCTGCTTTTTGTTCTCGTTACTTTAGGTCAAATTCTGTTTATTTGCCAGCTCATTAAAATGGGAGGTCAAGTTGAGAAAAATGAAGCTTTTCGACACCAACTTCTTTTTGCTTTTAATCAAGGTTCTAAGGCCGCAAAAGCTAATCAGCGCATTTGTGCTTTGTATGGGGAGAATGTCATAGCTAAAAGAATCGTTTGTGATTGATGTGCCCAGTACAAAGATAGATATTTTAACCTCAAAGATGCAGCTGGTTTTGGCTGTCCATTGGATTTCGCTGAAGGGCGATTAAACCAATATTTTTACGAAAATTCATGTCAAACCTCAAGTGAACTGACGGAAAATATGGAATTCACCCACACTGCTATAGAGAAGCATCTTTACTCGATGGAAAAGTTTCAGAAGTGTAAGAACATGGATGTCGCATGCCTAAAGTGATAACAGGCAAAGTCAACAAGCCGCAATCTTTGCTGGTTTGGTGGCTCCTCACTGCTCTACTCAAGGCCACAAGCAACGAATTCTTTAACGAATCGTTCCGAGCGACGTAAAACGGTGCCCGTACCTCAATATGAAGCAGCGGTTTGTGTAACTATGGTACCTTTCCATATACAGCACAGATGTCGCGAGCAGCTTTTGCGGCGTTAAAACCATGTTTAAATACAAAAAGAAGGTAGTGTCGAACAGCTTCGTATTTCTCAACTTGACATCCTTTTCTAATGATCGGAAAAATAAACAGGAATTAAGCTAAAGTAACAAGAATGAGAACAGAATAGAACAAAGCATCCTCTTTCCAATGATCTGCAACAATATGTCAAAATCAGTTAATGGCATACGGAATGTTAAAATGTAAAAAACAGAGTGAAGCTAGTTTCCAATTCAATACTACTTTTCGCATCCATCTTCGCTTCCCGTTACTACTCACTGACAATGCTATCGAAGGCTCCCAATAACCAGCTATTTTGCGAAAGGCCCTTGTAATGAACCTGAAGGGTACACTCTTTCAGTACTTCAAAACATTTGGTTTTATTAGGGTTTGCACATTCTAACGCTTATCTGTTTTAGTGGCTGTACGCTTACAGAGATTTTGCTACTCAGTGCGCGCACAACAATGCTACTCGCATTTGTACATTCGCTAACAATTCCTTGTAGCCTTTACAATGTACCTTAGGGACAACTCCCCATATTTTCTCTACCGTTCCGTAGTTGGCACATCTCATGCATATTGTCGCTACCGCTCGTACTTGAGACACTCCCAATACTGGTCCTAAGGTTTCCTGTAAAACAGTGAAAATGTTGAAATATTGGAACAGGCAAAATGAGTGCCGGAATCTAAGCAATACCTAGATACACATACGGCGGTTTCATATTCATGGAGAGAATCATACCCGAATAGCAAATGGCACAGCTGTAATATGCAGCAAACGCGCAGGATTCAGTGACTTGGTCCCGCGCACGTGCCCGATCTAAGTTCCATAGAGTAACACACGTGTAGAGCTACTAGTTCTCCGTTTCCGACATTCTGTATTTTCTTGTAACGAAATGGCACACACTGGATGCAACATGATATACCGTTTACCTATGTAGCGATTTCACCGGCCGGGTATGAAAAATGACGCTGATACGCACGCGCTTTCTTGTCAGCAGTGTTAAGCGTTGAATAGGCTCAGACTGGGAATACCACAATCTGTCTTGAATCGTGCCAGAGATAGGTACCTTGCGGTCAGTGGGATAGATGGGGTAGTTACCATTATTGAGAAGGTGCCACCACTACACACTCATGATGCCCAAGAATTTCATCTGCTAGACTGAAGCCACGGCAATGCCGGATCAAGGGGCTGACACAATATCTATGCCGTGATGATACACGCGATAGGTAACAATGGAAATTCGATGATCATGCTGACAGTCAAGAGCCCGTAATTATGACGAATCCCGGATATGTAGGCACTGGACATTTAGAATTTCAGGAATACCCTTACCTTCTTCAGACAAATGACTTGACGGAGAGGAATGGTAGAAAGCGGAACCAATACTTGCTCGAGGAAAGTGGAAAGTGGGAATAAGCTTTACAATTATCGTTAGTTCTTCGATGAAAATCCAAGCGATCCAGCGCAATGTAATTATCATTCCATTTAACGCATGACAACGGATCTTAACTTCCTGTGGATCTAGAACTGTAGTCAAAGGAAGCACGGAGCAATCAGAAACTCGCGAACTGAAATCTAACGACAACTCGGACGCGAATGATAAGAAACTCTGGATTCAGCGTCAGTATGGACCAGGGCACTTTCCTGTCCGAAGATAAAGCTACCAACAATCTATGGTCCAGGCGAGAGGAAACTTTGCTCAAATTGCAGGAATCGTATGGAGTAGTCATTAGGCGAGGGCACGTACACATTCCGCAAGATGATAGGCGAAGGGAAATTGCAAGCAAATTAAGGAAATAGTTGGAACGCGGTAAAAGAGCCTCTGGGTGAATGGAGCAGTCCCTAAAGTTGGAAGGACTGCTTTTGACGACAACAGTCTAGGAAACGTTTGGGAAGGTAGATCACTACTAAAGAGTAATAGAGCGAGAACGGGCATGCTTGGTGTAATCGGGGTGATAATGGATCACTGCGGATGAAGTGCGCAAGATGCACACCTTACTACCACAGATACGGGTGTAGAACAGGAAGAGCTGTTGGAGAAGATCTGCAACAGAACGGGGAAGCAGGGCAACATTATAGGTGACCCAGAACGGTGAGCGTGACTTTAATAGGTTCTACCGTCTGTACCCTATGGACTAGTGTGTTCGAAGCAAACGAGGATTCAGTGCTTTATTGGGTCCTTGAGAATATATGTTTCCTCTTGTAGGATAATGTATCCTCGCCCAGGATTTGCAACGTGTCTTCTCATCTTTTATTCTTATCACATGCATCCAGTCACTTTTGCCTATTGCTCTCCTCCTTGTTGACTGATATTTTCATTGCACTTTCAATTCTTGGGCCTAGTCTGTGTCATCCTCGTTAAACATAAGAATAGAACTATCGATCGTAACTTCATGGCTCGTGAAAAATTAAGATGAGTATTACATGAAGGATTTGTGTCAACTATCTTATTTTATTCCTGTGTCAACTTCAGCATGCTTCTATTTTGCATAGATGTGCTAATACTTATGTAACAAAGTAAATAGGTAGACGTAATCCGTTCTTTTGCGAGTACAGGTTTTCGGTACTACGAGATTTATACCAACATTCATGTTTGGTTATTGACCGCGCATCAGCCACTTTCATCCATACAATAAGCCGTCACGTACACAAAAGGTCGCTAAACGTTTCGATCATTAAGTCGTTACGAAAGGTCAATCAGATGAAATAGGCCAGAAGAATCAGGGTGTCTGATGAGGAACCGCTTAATTCATTAACACAATGCAATGAGTGCGAAATGCGGTGTTACAAATTTAAACGACACATACAGTAGGAGACTCCAATGAGGAATATTCCATCAACAATAACAACAGCAGCAGCAGTAGCATTGTTTGCAACATGGAGAGCAGCTACGCCTACGAAAAGTGCTGACAACTGTTGCAGTGACACTTCTGGTACTTTTGAACAACAATGGGAATCTAGCTCGTTTTAGTTGACAGTGGAAGTCAATGAGAACGGTGAAAGAAGTAAACTTACACGAAAAGGTCTGAAGCGAGTGGTTCAATTAGCACTACCTGCAATAAACGAGGACTTGGTAATGGTAGAATAGAAGTCGGTGCTAACGATATTGAATTCTCGTGCAGGCAATCGAGTAGCAGTAAATGACGAACAGATCTCATTTCGCTTCGTCGACCGCACATTAATGAATCATTCACCGTCAGGGGAGCTGCACAATCACTGACAGATGTATGGGAAAGGAACTTATTCGTCTTTAAAATGCCCATTTTTCCATATCACCTGATTTGTTTACGCTTATCATTGACGCGGGAAGCTGCACTAACTGATCAGCCGACAAACTCGTGACCTTAAAACTTCACGCCCTCGGCGAACATGTCTCACGTTAAAAGCAAGTGTGAGTTGTGTGATAAATTGGCGAACAGAGGGCTAGTTTGCAGCAGTTGCTTGAAAACCTATCACACAAAATGCCTTGGGACGGAGCCGATAAAAACGAGACGGTATAATAACATGACAGAGGCGTTTTGGTGCTGCCCAGTATGCAGTGCTATCCCATTTGCTAGCTGTCCAACTATGCTATTGAAGAAGTGTGAAAGACTCACAGAAGCAGTCGGACAAATCACGAGCGCCAGGGGTACACCTATGAGAGGAAACGGACCTACAATTGTATGTGCAAATAACACCCCGAATTCCCCATTCAGGCCGAAGAAGAGAGCCAGGTATCCCAGCATTACCAAACGACTCAGTCTCAGTCAGTACCAACTAGCTTCTCTCTCTCCCATAAGTAAAAACATTGTCTGCAACATGCCTGCTTCGACGTCTGTACTATGCGCGATACACCTAGTAGTTTGTTCGCTATACAAGAGACCCTAAGCTGCAGTCTACCAGCCACAGTGAAGAAGCAGATAACATACGCATCGGTTGCCGCCAAGCAAACACCCGAAATAGCAGCGGTAACTTTGGTTGCCGGACTAGAAAAAAGTAAAATCTTATAGAACGGATGGCACCCATCAGTGCCGTTCACAAATTCACCCAAAGCACCGGAAACTAAGGCTTCGAAACCAGTAGCCACCAGGCGCAAGCATGGTACCTTAAACCTAGTGTGCACTAATGTCCACGAATCCAAATCCAATACAATTAAGGGTAGGCTGACAGAAGATCGAAATCAATGGAGTTCCATCTGTACGACAAACGGTGTTCATGCTAATACCACGACAAGAGCAAAAATCTCGCGTCATCCAAACGCATTGCACTACGTTGAACCCCGGTTACTTCGGGTAACACTGAACTCGGAGGATGAGGCAGAGGCCGTTCTGCTGTCCGAGAATTGACTCCGCAAAGCCTCAAGCGGAGTGCGCATACTAGCTGAAATCCCATGGAAATAATGTGCAGCGGATCCAACTAATAGAGAGAGGAACAGAAAAATTCAAGCTAAGGAAACTGTGGTTGCTCACGGGGTTCCAAAGTTTACTGATTCCTCTTCCGACAATGTGCAGGTACCCGTTCGGAAGCAATGGCACTACATGCGTGGGGCTTTTTCTCTCGAAAATGTCGTGTTAACCTCGT